AGGTCTGCCTCATAATGTGTTTCCAAGCAGATGACATAATTAGATGTTTGTATTATAAACAATAGGAAAGAATACAAGCCTTTAGCGTTTTTTAGAAAGGCTGCAATTTAAAAATAGGTGGGCATTGTGACATAAATTCTATTAAAAAAGAACAATTAAATGTCCCTCTGAGAAATTAGAAGACACCATCTTGTGGTTACTCTTCAGGAAAGCAGCAAGTTTTCTGGCCTGACATCTCCTCCTACCCTTTCCCGATGTGTCAACTGGAATGTCAAATTCTGCCATACACAAGGACAATGCTTTGTCATTCCCAGTATTCCCCTGAAAAAAATCAGTGAGGTTATGTACTAGGTAGGACTAGAGGAATTATTTAGTTCAAAATACACCCCAGGTTATCACATTACTCAAATATGTGTTTGAGGTAAACAGCAAATTCAGAATTATTGGTGATTGTAGTAAAACCACACCTAATTTCTAATAAGTTTAAGACCAAATACTAACATAACTTAAAGTCTCTGCAGCTCAGTAAATCCGCGTGAATTTTTGAGCCGTCTAAGACCAGAAAGTTCTACTTCTGTTACCCTTATATTAACAAACCCAAAACACGGTTTGTGCATTTTGCAGAAAGTGATTGAAATTTTGTAAACAATTTATTTTGGGCAAGAGTGAACCAGTTGAGTTTGTGCTATCTTCAAAGACATATTTAGTCTCATACACAGGTCAGAATCTGCCATTGTAAATAAAATACAGTTTCTGATATCTACTTTGTGTCCAGTCCTGCTAACTGCTCATTCCTTGTACCTTGAGAATAAACTATCTAGAGTGATTTTTCTCAGCTCAATTGTGTAGCTGAGTGTGAATTATTTACCATGGAAAGTTCAATTGTTTTTGGCTTCCTTGGGAAATGTATGCAAAATATAAACCAGTATAAATTTGGTTATTGTTTTATTGCTTTTATAATCAATTATAAATAAATAACTATTTTAGAGAGGCTAATTTAACTGATGTTTAGGTTATGATTTTATCTTGTAACTCCAGAAATACCTTGTTGGCGTTATTGTTTCATCATGCTCTAAGATGTAATCTAGTATCTTGCATTATAGGCAGTCTATGACCAGATATTACCTAGTAAAATAAACAGCAAAGGTACGCTGGCATGTGCCTTATTTCAAATTTTTTGATTAGTTTAAAACTAATAAAATGTACATTGGCTATTTTTTCACAAGCAGGCCTAGTTTTAACCTGGTTATGGCTCAATGAGTTTTGAATGGCCATAAATGACTGCAGAATCGAATCCATATATTCTTCTTTTCACATCCATCAGATATGGTTCTTCTAGAAAATACTTAGTAAACTAGGATACTCATTTTTCTAATAAAATATCCATAGTAAGTGTCAGAGACTGACAGTCTAACTGTGATAACATCCAGGCTTATCTTTGCGTTTGAAAGGTGTCAATAAAAGAGGAATTTCTCTGTGTCTGGAAAGTGTGGTGTCAAGAATTCATAGAATCATAGAATGGTTTAGGTTGGAAAGGACCTGGAAGATCATTGAGTTCCAATCCCCCTGCCATAAACAGGGACACCTCCCACTAAACCAGGTTGCCAAAGGCCACGTACAGCCTGGCCTTGAACACCTCCAGGGGTGGGACATCAAAAACCTCTCTGTGCAACCTGTTCCAGTGCCTTACTACCCTCAAAGTAAAAAATTTCTTCCTAATGTTTAATCTAAACCTGCCCTCTTCCAGTTTAAAGCCATTCCCCCTCATCCTATCACTACGTGCCCATGTAAAAAGTCCTTCCCCAGCTCTCCTGCAGGCCCTCTTTAGGTACTGGAAGGCCGCAATAAGATCTACCTGGAGCCTTCTCCAGGCTGAACAACCCTAACTCTCTCAGCCTCTCCTTATAGGAGAGGTGCTCCAGCCCTCGGATCATCCTCGTGGCTCTCCTCTGGACACACTCCAGCAGGTCCATGTCTTTCTTATGTTGAGGACTCCAGAGCTGGATGCAATACTCCAGGTGGGGTCTCACGAGAGGGGAGTAGAGGGACAGAATCACCTCCCTTGACCTGCTGGCCACACTTCTTCTGATGCAGCCCAGGATCCGGTTGGCCTCCTGGGCTGCAATTGCACATTGCTGGCTCATGTTGAGCTTCTTGTCAATCAGCAAACCCAGGTCCTTCTCCTCAGGGCTGCTCTCCAGCCATTCCCCATCAAGCCTGTATTTGTGCTTAGGATTGCCCCAACCCATATGTAGGACCTTGCACGTGGCCTTGTTGAACTGCATGAGGTTGGCTTGGGCCCACCTCTCCAGCCTGTCCAGGTCCCTCTGGAATTTATGTGTTATGAATTCTGCTTATTGACACCTGTTTCCCAGAAAGACTACAGCTAGTGTCAGATGTTTCCTTTGGATTTTTGAGTACATCAGAAGCATGAATATTCTGAACCACTGTGGTTACAAGATGCAGTAATTTTTAGCAAATAACACAATTATGTCTGCTGCTTTTCTGAGCTCAGTTCCTTTCAAGATTTCAATCTTCCAACTAGGTTCACACCAGCCAGTGTCTCTGTTTACGTATGCACCCCAGGAGCGAGGTGACATTGAAAATGCTAAAACAACATATCTAGATTATACACTTTAAATCTGCATTGCCTCCACACTAGAAGTGCAACCGTATATTTTGTATACATTAAAAAGCAGACTCACATATTAATATGCCAATTTATATCCCAGGACACTCCATATATTCAGCAGCCGAAGTTACCCAATTTCATTTCCTTGTTTGTTAATATGTCCTTTGATCTTCCCTGTATGCAAATGTTGACAAGCATTATACAAATGCCAGAATGATACTCTGATTCTAAAGGGATGAAACTACAAACTGTACCAAAAATAGGTGCCTCCTCTCTCCCTGTGGGTTAGCCAAGGCAGCATTATGTGCATGGTTTACTCATCCCAGCAGAGGAGATGTAGAGACTGGAGACAGATAACAGTACTTCCTATTTCCCTTTTGGTTGCTGCTATTACCTTTCCAAGTCAAAGGGGATCTGCTGCATTTGGAGAGGATGGGAGAAGACATTTACTCAAGGTCTATGGGTGCTGGAGGAAGAGTGGGTGAGGGATGCTGGGGTAGGCCATGTATAGGGATGCTGGCATCATTTTCCTGTTAATTTCATTCCATAAGTAAAGTTCTACAGAAATGTTACTGGTCTCCTGACATCAGGATACCTGGGTATAGTGGGGAGGGGAGAGAAGGGAAGAGATTGATGGCAAGGAAGAAAAAGAAGGGAGACACTTGGCTCTTTCAACTGCTTCAGATTCACTCCTAACTTTTTAAACTAGCTCAATACTTGATGATATGATGAGACCTTTCTGGTACAAGTACTGCTAAAAGGTCCGGTACTTCCAGTCTTTGCTATCTCTATTCATCTTTAACAAACAAAAATAAAAAAGAAGCAAACTAAACCAAAACAAACCAACCAAACATACAAACAAAAAACCCAACAAAACCCAAGCCCACAAACCCATAGATTTGAGAGAAACAAGTCCTTAATTACGAAGTTTCTGTTTGCTTCCTCATGCAAGTTCCAACGTGCAGTTATTGCCACATAAGCTATGCATTCACACCCTGCAGGATACTGCACTCATGTTACAAGATTATTATCAAAACAGTCCTATGTTTTCTAAGTGTTTGTTAAAAATGCAGAAAAGCTAAACCAAATTATACTGATGTCCATATGAAGTCCATATCCACTTTAGGAGTGGATAAAAATGATTGAGACTTACACAGGTTACTTAAGTAACTGTTATCTCTTTGCTGACTAATTTCAGAAACATAACATTCCAATAGTATGTCAACAGAAAGGAATCAGCCTGTAGTATCATCAAGAATAGGATCTAAATGGTCCTTTAACAATTTAATAAAATTTACCCATATTCAAACTGTGTTTAGGACCTTGTGACCTCACACTGCCTTTGTGTGTATTAGAAAAAAAATTATTTAACAATAATAATTTGCATACCAAAAGGTTGCCTCAAAAGAAGTGAAAACAAATTGTAAATTTTCTGAGTAATAATTCAAGTTACAAAAATTCACCAGTAGCATCTGGAAAAATAGCAATATAAATATAGCTGTTGGATTTACAACAGATTTTATGAAATTAAATTACTAAAAAGAAATACAGAAATGCCATAGGTCACAAGTGCCTCAAAAGGAGAAGAAGAAAAAAAGAAAAAGACCTAGTAAAATCCAAATATTTCTCAATTTTAAAAATTCAGAATATGTCATAGCAATAAAATATATAGTTTGTGTTTAGGTTTAAATATGGGTATGTATATATAGATTTATTTATTTATTATGCAAGAAAAAGATAATTCCAGCTAAGAATTTCACAAGTTGTTACTAGTCTTGGCACAATTACAGTATTGTGGTTGTATAAATTGCAAGTACAGAAAAAAATAATGCTAGAATTTTCAAAACAGAATCAGTCATCATATCAGTAGTAAACCCACCAAAAAAAAAAAAATCATGCTGATGTTATCTTTTCCAGATGCTACCAGGACAACTTTGCAAGTATAAACCTCTGTAAAGAACATTTCTATAGAGACATTTTAAGATTTTGACTTTGAGCTACAGATAGTTTGTCTTTTGAAAATCAAAATTATCTGTAGATTAATTTGTTTCCCATTACAGTTTCGGATTTCTTCTTCATCCATAAAATTAACTGCAGTGAACTTCCAGGAGTAAAAAGCTGTCTTTTTTCAGGCTTGAATAAGAGGAGAAATAGTCACTTGTCCTGTAATCTGGCTACAATTAAACACATTGAAGACAAATTAAAAGATGGAAAACTTTGGGCACTTTGCTATGATCCTTTGTTATACAAGTACTGTACTATACAGTAAAAAATCAGTACACATTGCCTACATTTCACTACCAAATGCTTAACATATTATTTAAGTAGACCATAAATATAAAATAAAATAGGAAAAGACAATATTTACCTTTTCCAACTGGGCATTTTTTTTTGATTTGTACAAAAATTCCCCCACTGCCACAAAGACAGAAAGCACCAATCCTGCTGCCAGCACGATGAAGATTCCTCCAATATTTTGAACTCCCAAAGCACTGGCCTCTTTACTTTCCTCCTCTGGGCAGCCATTGCCTCTCCACCACTTCTCTTTCATCATGTGGAGTTTGCCCTCCTCTTGCAGCTGAAGAATTGCTATAGTGATCTTGTCTCTATATGGAGAACCTAAAGAGACCACAGGGAACATATATTGCATGGTGTATATTTTCAGGGAAGTTAGCAATTCCTGATGAGAATAAAATGTAATATAATGTCAGAGGAAAAAACTATATCCTCTACAACCATAACATTTATCAAAAATCCATTTACATGTCACCACAGTCACACTGGTCATGTAAATACAAACCCATGTGCACACACACATTTAAATATATATACACAAAACGATCCAGCTGGTGCTGCCTGTAAGCCAGGTAACTTAATGCAACAAGTCCTTTCACTCTTAATCCCACGGTCTCAAACATCTTCATGCCGAACTATTATATCCAGCCTAACAGTATTCATCTTTCAATTTCCATCAGGCTTTTAATTATGCTGCAGTAGATTTAGTCTAATATACAGTAATCCAGAGGCTGCTTCATAGCTTCGTCCCCTAAAGCTGATATGTAACAAACATAAAAGTCTGATATGTAACAAACACTTTATGCTATTACTTTATCAAAAGAAGAAACAATTTATGCTTCAGGACCAAGCCACAAAAATCTCTATTTGACAGATTGTCAGGCACTTACAGTACCTTCCAAGTATGCACTTACTTATTAACAGTACCAGGTAATAATGCATCCAGAAAGATAAGGTTAAGTGTGTTTGGATAACAGGGATTTAATTTTTCATATTTTAATGCATTTCTCATAATTCAGTATTTTAAAATGACATGATAATTTTGCAGCTTTTCAACTTTTCAATATTTCAAGGTGCCGTTCAAAAGGTAGTGTCGTATCTTTGTATGTCATCTGCTTTATTTTTTCTTTACATAGTGCATAAGGACTTTTGAATGGGTGTTTTAAAATCTACATTAATTAATGAATAATGCCAATGGAGAAAGCTTTTATTTTTTGAATGTTAGAGAGTAAATCACATCAGTTATAAGTGCTTTCTATGTTAAGATTTGTGTAATGTTTAAGGAGAGAATAAAGCCATAATTTTTCTTCTCCTCCTTCAAAAACAGGAACAAAAGACTCTTCATTAAAGTGGTTAAGAAAACCCAGGAAAAAGGCGAGTAGATGAAAAGGCATGGCATCCTCTCTTTCATGTGATATGAATACAATTCTACAAAGAATCCTTCTCTTTTTCTTTCTGTCATAATAATGCTACTTAGTAGCTATAATTTTTACAGTGTTTCCTTTGACTGAATAATAAAATGCATTTTCATTAGCTTGATATCTTTAAAAAAATTCTTCAGCATCATTTAGAGAGATGCTGCCCATTTGACTATTTCATGTACAGTGATCAACTGTGAAGGAGCTGAAGGAGTGAATGGATAGTATATTTTATATTCTTTACACTCTTGGAAAACATTTATTTTCCTTTGGAATTTTTTTTCAATTTCTTCTTGCGTATCTGGAGCTTATAATGAGAATAAAGCCAATAGCAAAGGATTGCTATGCCAGCATGGAAGCAAAACCTAGCAAAACACTGGGCTTTTCCTTTATTCCAGAATAAAAGGTGGGAAAAGTTGGCCTCAAAGTATTTAAACTGCTTTTATCACCTATGTGTAGAAGAGAATGATGTTTTGTACTAGGAACTTTAACAGTATTTACACAGGACTATATAAGAAGCAGAAAGAAAAGAAAACAAATTATTTTCTACTCTCTTGTGTATTCAAGGGACCAAGTCTTATCATTTCAGACCATCCTGATTATGCTGAAACCCTGCAAAACCCTGTTTTTGACACATTTCTTCAGCCAGATGGAAGAAGGAAAGTGGTTAGTCCACAAAAGCCTGGGGAAGTGTAAGTGCACACTATAATATTTGGGGGATATTTTCAGCGTTACACCAGCTATAAATATTTAACAACAACTTAAATAACATTAGATTCTGAGAAATAATTTTGGACTCAGTTTAAGCCATCTTCTGATCTGACAGGCTGCTTTCTAATTAAACTGATTTGCATTTCATTTCCACACTTTCTGTTGGTCTAAAAATAGTCAGTACCAACTATTTTTCATGTATTATTTATATATTCTAGGGACCAGATTTGTACATATACAGTTCTAGTCCATTTGAAGTGCTTAAAAAGTGAATTAACTGAGGAATTAATAGATAGAAACCATAAAGCACAGGCTAATCCTATCTACAATTAGTTAAGTTTATGAGGATGGCATTAGAAGCATGTAGTTAACAGATATTCAGTTCAACAATATCACTTACTGTTGGTGATTTGCAAAATTTTGCACAAAGAGTTGTGCAGTGGACAGATTACAAGCCTTTGGTGTTTCTATTCCAATATTGGGTTTTGTTATTCCTTATTATAATGTCTTTAAAACGGTAATCTTACAATTAAGGATCAATGTGTTCCTACTGCAATATCTGCATTTACTGTACCTTCTTAGCTTGTCTTAAAAATGGTAATCTCACAAGTCAGGATCAATGTGGGATAACCAGCATTGCATACTCCTGCTGTTAAATTAAACATTTAAAATTTTATACCCATGAAAGAGCTAGCATTTAATGTTGTAGGTCTACTCTATTTCTGAATGACTTGCAACGATCTAAATTCATTGATTTATATTTTGTAACAAACAATGAATACACCTAATAATCTAATATTTGAAAAAAAAAATGTTGTTTATACTGATTCAAGTGGTTATTAAGAGAACAAAAGAAGCATAGCAACTATTTTGTTTCCTAAGGTTTTATTTGATCCTAGATTATTTTTCTCATATAAACTGGATTGCAAGTCCCAGCAATGGAAAATCCACCCAGAAGAACCTGAAGAGGCTAAAAGTATCATGGTCTGATCTGTGGATGATAAAGCTAGCATACAAAAAAAAAAGAGAAAATAAATAGAAAATATGGACAAGGCATCCAGATTACAGTCTAGATATTAAAAACCTGTTCCTTGCAGAAATGAAAAATTTCAGCAAGCAAATGTAAAGATTTTTTACATTTACTGGTAATTTTCACTATCCCTCCTATGACATAATTACAGAGATTTTTATTTAAATTCTTTTTTAAAAAATAAATTTAGACCTTCGGAACTGTCAGAATTCCTACGAAGTCTCACATTGCATTTATAGGTGATGATAAGAAGTTTCAGCTCCTACTTTTCTATTAAGTGACATTCCATATATTTCTAATTGCTCTCATAAATAAGAGAAGCTGAGTCTTTGAGGTTTTCCATGCAGATTTCTGTTCCCCAATTTGACTTATAAGGTTAATGTGATTACAGAGGCAAGGCAGTCAGTTCTTGGTTGAGCTTTTGGAAAAGGGTGCATCAGCTAACTGCGCATCATATATACATTGAGAACAAGAAGTCTCAACTATTCAAAGAGTGCTTAAAAACGCTGGCTTTCAGTGTTTCGCTCACTGTGCTGTTTGTCTATAAAGCACCATGACAGATTCAAAGCCATGGTGATAGTCTTTCAATTTATCCTAGACAACTTAGGGAATTCTATCCTCAACAGTGGGGCTGAATGAGACGGTGAGAATTCAGATTTATGAAGAGCTTTCAGAGTTTTAAATTTCTTTTCCATTACAAAGGAATCATTTGGGTGCAGAAAATGGAACTAGGTAAGCTCAAACCAAAAGACAGCCAGTAGCTTTTACTTAATGCTTTTGGATGCAAATTCAAGTCACGGTTCAAAGAGAAGGGTCTTGATTCTGTAGACAAAAAGTCTGAAGCCCTTTCATCACAAAACTGTTGCATTTCAGCATTATGAAAGGCAGAACTTTGGAACTGTCCTCCAGAGATATCCTAGTGCACCCCTTCTGTTCAAGCTATAGTATGTTACTCAGGGTGCATTGTTCAACTGAGTTCTGTATATCTCCAAGGATGGAGGCTCTACAACATCTCTGGGCAACCTGTTGTAGTGTTTGATCACCCTTACTGTGAAGAAGAGGGGGTTTGTGTGTATTTTTTCCTCTCATGTTTAAATGGAATTTATTTCGTTTCAGTTTATGCTCTATGCCTCTTGCTTAGTAGCTGGGTGCCAGTGAAAAAATTTTGACTCTTTCCATTATTTTCCCTCATCAGGTACTTATACATATTGATCAATTCGCCCCTGAGCTTCCTTCTCTTCTTCAGGCTGAACATTCCCAGCCCTGTCAGCCTCTCCTGTAAGCTTCAGAAAGGCTGTGGCCAGTTTGCTTTCAATTGTTATATATCCCTCAGAAGAACCTTAAAGTATTGTAGTTAAACTACAGGACACTGGGTGGAGGGTAATACTTATTTAGTGAGCCCGGGTTACTGGGAAATGAGTGAAAAAGGAGTACTTAACCAGGAAATGCAAGAGAGACAAAATAAATAGCTGGTGCTCTGGCTTTTTCAGATCAAGAATGCCAAAACCCATGCAAACACCATGTGCTGGGATGCAACACACTAATTTGTATCTACTTAGGGGCCATATATAAGGACAGAGACATTTTACATTTGTAGATGAGTCCTGGACAGTGCAACACATACATATGGTCTTAGACACTATAAGATCAACATGGAAGTTTTAATAATGTCTTTGCTTCAGTTACATCTGTTCAGTAAATTCCTACTAGAAACCGCTTCTCTAAGGCAGAGTGTGTTTGCAACAGCTACTGGACATCAAGTGTTTTGGCAATTCTTTATTGATACAAAGCTCAGTCTCTTAACATGTCTCTCAAATAGTGCTTCAATATGCTCATCCTTCTGAGGTAGCAATAAAAGAAAGTTCTTTCATCAAATATGCTACACATTCTTACATTTCAGCAACAATAAATTAACTGCTCAAGCAGTTGAAATTCTCAAATTAGTTTCAATACATGGTTTGACCTGCATAAAAATAAATAATTTGCACCTATTTTTTGTGCATTATGTTCAACTAATGAAGACAAATGTATTAATTTGTTTTAGTTACAGAAGAAGTGAAGCTCAGCACTTTTATGCATGTATAAGTGATGAATATTACAGTCCAAATTATATGAAGGATTACAGATTAAGTGCAGGCAAGCAGAAGAAAAAAAGCTTCCTGTGT